CCCTGCGCCCCCCGTGGGCCTCCCCCCCAGCGGAGCCGTGGTGACATCTGCCCGCCGGTGCCAGGCCCAGCCGCAGGCAGGTGAGCAGGTCACTCTGCTGCTTGCAAAAGTTTCTAAAATTAAAGCCAGCATCTGAAATTCAAATGAAGAGCAAACCTTTAATTAGAGACTGAATCTAATTCTCTGTCCCCCTCCCGGCACAGCCATCCTGTGATTTCTGGCAATCAGTGCTTTAAACACAGTCCCGACAGCTCCGTTCTCCCCGTGCTCCCGAGGGGCTGGCATTTGCAGGCTTCTCTGTGCGGTGACAGCGACGGCACTCCGGTGCCACGCCGCGGGCACGGGGCGCTCCACCGGCAGTGGCTGCTGCCTCATAGCACCCTGCTTTGGTGGCAGGTGACAGGTCACCCAGCTCATACGTTGTGCCATGCCATGGGATCCTTCCAAAATAGAGGCTTGACAGGTTGGTGATGCTCTCAACACGGGGGGTGGTGTCCTCAGAGCTGGCCAGGAGCCCCGAGCAGAGAGGGCTGGGGGCGTGGGGACAGCCCCAGCCAACACCAGTGCCCTTGGGCCAATCCTTGCCCTGAGGCAGAACTGGCAGCAGATGTTTCGTCAGGGATGGTGCTGCAGCTGGAAGGGAGGAGTGGCAGCTCTTGGCATTGGCAGAAAACCGCTTGCAAACCACATGGCCTCATCTGAAAATAACACTTGGGTGACCCCAGCTCTGTGTAAATGAGGACAGATGAGGACTGACAAACCCCAAATGCCATTGTCCCCAGGCAGTGACAGCAGGAGGGCTCCTTAGCGGGGGAAAACAGATCCACAGCAAGTCTGGGAGGTGGAACAGAGAGGTCAGGCAGATGCTGACTGAAGGGGAGGGTGCTTGCATTCCCGACCAGGTGTCCCCTCTCAGGGTCCCACTTATTTGGAGCAAGATGTCTCTTGTCCCTCCCCAGCCTGGGGGAAGCTGCCAAAGGAGGGCGGGGAGGATCATGCTCTCCATGGCTGCTCCAGAGAGGATGGAGCTAATGGGCTTAAAATGCATTAAAGCGGATTTTGGATAGAAGTGGAGGAAGAACTGGCTGGCAGTTGAAGCAGGAGGAGACAGCCTGGGGAGCAGGGCAGCTCCCTGCCCAGGAGGCTGAGGAGCAGGACTGCTGCATCCATCAGGCTGGGCAGGACTTCTGCCATCACCGCCATGGGGCAGGGGACAGGGGAGCTGAATGTCCCCATGCCTGGTGTTACCCTGACTGGTCCTGGCTACCCACACCCAGCTGGTGTCGGCAGTGGTGATCCAAGCTGGCGGCTCCTGCCTGTTAGCATTGGGATTAGCTGGTTCTGCACGTGAGGAGCATCCTGGTCGCATTAGGCAGGTTTAGGAAATTGGAGGCAACTTGACCTCAGAGCTGTGCCTGACAAGCCCTCCCAGTACACGAGGCACTGGGGAGAAACCACCCCCCGCAGTGTGGCATGGCGTGCCTGGGGACTGACAAGCAAAATTGGGGGTGTCCTATTGCTGAGGTTTGT